CCCACACGGTCGCTGTCCGCCCAGCTCTTCCCGGAGGGCGGACGTGGGGGTGGGGGGTGCGGGGGCTGGCAGAGGCAGGGAAGCTCTGAGCTCCCACCATGGGCTCCCACTGACCCGCTTCTTGTAGTAGATGCGCCACTTGTGGTACTCGCGCATCACCACCTCGATGCGCCGCTTCCAGTAATTCCCCTCCAGGACGACGGCCTGGAGACGGTCGAGATGGGCTCAGAGCAGGGCGACCCTCGCCCGGGCCCCCCCTCACCGATCCTTGTGCGCACAGCCCCAGCTACCTCCGGTTTGCGGTGCTCGTCGGCCTCAGGCCCCTGCAGAGGCGTCACGAAGCCGCACACGGGGCTCTTCCTCCGCTCCACATCTGAGAGAAGAGGCCGGGTCAGGGGCGCCCAGCCCTCATGCCCCACCCTGTGCGGTCCTGCCTGCTGTGGATGCTGGCCTGAAGTGCTGCCGCCGCTGCAGGAAGTCTTCCTGTCTGCTTGGCCCTCCTCCAACTCCTGTCAGCCTCCACTGGGGATTGAACCAGGGGCCTTCACACTGAGCTACATCCCCAGCCCTTTTCTTTTCTTAAAATTTGAAACAGGTTCTCTCTAGGTCCTCCCTATGCCGCTAAGTTCCCTAGGCTGGGTTTGAACTTGAGGTCTTCCTGCCTCAGACTCCCAGAGTGCTGGAATTACAGGCCTGCACCACCGCACCTGGTGATCTTCCTCTTCTGCACCTCCTCAGCTTCCTAGGGAGCTTGGTAGTGGACCATCCCTCCTCCTGAGCCCCATGGGTAAACACTAACTCACCCTCAATTTTCCCAGGGTGCCTCTTCCCAGCTCCACCCCATATCCCCAGATCCTCCACCAAGATGACCCTAAATTCACCATCTGAAGTCCCAACCAGCTCCCAGCATTCCCCATCTAATCCACAGACAAATAATTCCACAGGGCCGGACTCCAGCCTCATACTCTGCAGCCTTTCTTCCTGCTGCAAGTCTGACACCTCCTGTGGCTCCCTAGGACCCCAGGAAAAGGACTTTGCTCCTCAGCTTGGTTCCCCAGCTCCTCCCGCCTGCCACCTGCTTCTCGGCCTGTCCTACCTGAAGCCACAAGCCCCCCCATCTGGCCTTATTTGGGGAGACTCCTCCCCTCCTCTGTCCCTTCCAGCTCAGTCCTCCTCCTGGAAGTCTTCCATGCCCCCAAGCCCCAAGGCCCTGTCCCAGTACGAACCTTCCTGCCCGTCAGTTCTCCATAGATTAGCACCACCCCGCACAGGAGTGTGGAGGCAGGAGCAGGGACTCAGCAGAACTTCATTAAGGATGTGCCTAGTGGTTAGCACTTGCCTAGCAGGTGCAAGGTCCTAGGTTCCATCCCTGTGCCACACACACTGAGGCAACCCTTACAGAGAGGACAGTCACTAAGCCTTCTCGTCCACAAGGCTCTATCCTACCTCAGCCAACTTCCTTTGGGGCTGTAGATTTTTTTTTTTTTTTTGTACCAGAAATCAAACTCAGGACCTTTTGCTTGTGAGGCAGGTGCAGTGCCACTGAGCTAAATCCCCAGCCTTCAGCCAACTTCCTTTGGGGCTGGTGAGGACACAGAGGAGGAGGACCTCAGAAACAGGACATTCACTAGGACTTCTAGCAAAATTTACACAGCTGTGCCCTAAAGGACATTGTCCCTAGTGGGTGCCCATACGATAGGAGGAGGGGCTTGGTCCTGGCTGCTAGAGCCCTGGATATGTGGACTTCCAGGGGCTTAGAGCCAGGAGGTCTCAGAGCTGCCCCCTGGCTTCCTTGAGGAGGGGGTGACACCAGGGCCCCCAAAGAACCCAGGCTTCAGCCTGGCTCTCCCTGCCCCGGCCCAGGATCCCTTTGCTGTGGACTGTAGGGCTGTGCCAAAGTGGCTTACTGGGGCTGGCACAAGCTTGGTTTCACACTGATAAGTTCCTCCATTCTCTAACCCTTTCCTCCTTTGCTGGGACAGATGCGGGGACAGGGATCCACATGAATCAGGGCTCCGAGGGCTCACAGCTCAGCAGGCTGATAAGGAGAGCAAACAAACAGCCCATAGATAAAGCAGGTGGAAAGTCCTTCCTTCCCAGAAAGGTGCAAAGGCCCTGGGAGGACTCGGGAGTGGGAGAGAGGCAGTGGGCAGGAAGGAAGGGTGTGGAAGCCAGGACCTGCAGAGGGGCAGCGGGGCTCTTCCTGGTTGAGGCTAAGGTCACAGGAATGCAAGGAAAGAAGATGAGTCTGATCCCTCTCCTTGGGCTACCTTCAAATTTTGCAGTCTAAGGAGGAGGCAGGTGCTGACTTTGTCCTTCCTTATGTTTGTTTGTTTGCTTGTTTTGAGACAGGGTCCCACTATGTAGTACAGGCTGGCCTTGAACACACTCTGTAGCCTAGGCTGGCCTCGAGCACTTGGCGATCCTCCTGCCTCAGCCTCCCTAATGCTGGGATTACAGGGATGCACCACCACACTTGGCTAAAGCACTGACTTTGTTATAAGCCCACTTATAGTGCTGCCACTATGATAACAATAATCACCCTCAGTTCCTGTTGCTCACAGCTCCGGAGTCCTTTGAGGACAGGCTCAATGCTGCGAAACACTTGTGCTCACTGACAATTCACAGTGACCTGGGACGCCAGACCTTCCCATGGGCTTGAGAGGGCTCAAACACAGCTCTATTCGACTCTGTCTGGGGAAGGATGCCAGGGACCTGTGGCCAGAGTTGGCATCAAAAAAGTTTAAGCTGAGCAGGGTGGTACATGCCTGTCATCCAGCACTCTGGGAAGCTGAGGCAGGAGGATCGCAAGTTTGAACTGAGCCTGGGCAGCTTAGTGACTTAGCGAGACCCTGTCGCAAAATAAAAGATAAAGATAAAAAAGGACTGGAGATGCTGCTCAGGGCAAAGGCCCTGAGTTCAACCCCCAGTGCCACACGCACACACAGTGAAGGGTTTGGGTCCCATGCAGCTGAGGGGAGAGGGAGCCTGGGGATGACTCGACACTGACTCCCCAGCTTATCGGCTTCCTAGGTTAGCCCAGGATACAAGTTCTCAAAATTGCAGAACTCTGGGAAGACATCCAAAAAGCAGGTGGCTCCCACTTTCCTGAAAGCCTCAGCCCCTGCCCTTCAGGGACCTTCATGTCCTGGAGGAGGCCTGGAAGCCAGCCAGCCAGACCACATACACGGAGCCTGTCTCCGCAGCCCTGAGACCCGGCCTTGGTGGCTCAGCCATAAACCCGCAGCCCTGACACCCACCACCAAGGGTTGCTGCGAGGACCTCTTAAAGGAGACATTTCTGACCTTGCCTGGAACCCATAGAACAGAACCCTGCTCCCTCCCCTGCCTGCAGAGGACCCAGCCCAGCAGCGGGTGGGTCACCATCTGCGCTGCGTGTTTCAGGCTAAGGGCAGCTTCACTCCTGTGCGGGGCCCAATGGAGCTCATGTCCTGCTGCAGGGGCTGTCCCCGAATTAATGGCTGTGGCCTCCTTGGGATATACATTTGTTGTTTTCCAGTACTGGGGATTGAGCCCAGTTTCTTTACACTGAGATCCATCCCCGGCCTCTTTAATTCTGTATTTTGAGACAAAGTTGCCTCAGCGGGTCTTGAACTTGTGATCCTCCTGTCTCAGCTTCCCACAGTGCTGGGATGACGGGTGCGAGCCACCACACCTGGCGTATATCATTTACTAAACACCAATTCAGGGCTAGGCCTCTCCACATCTATTGTTCCCACATGAACGGTGAGAGGTAGGACTACTAGTCTCATTTTGTAGATAGAATCAGGCTCAGAGAGGTTAGACAACTTGTCTGAAGTTACACAGCCAGCAAGGGGCAGCGTCAGGGCAGGGAAACTGCTCTGGGTGACTCTTAAGACTAAGGTCCCTTCCCTAAGTCACATTCCACAGTGGGCACTGCTGGGCATTCAGGAAAGACTTCAAGGAGAGGCTGGTGGAGATGCACACGCGACCCTCCTTGGTTCCTCACTGACAGACGTGGTACACCAGGCCCAGCGACCTAAGGTAGCTTTGTTCCCTGGCATGTGAGGAGCCTGATGACATGGATAGGATGCAGAGTGGGCCTTGGACCAGTCCCCACATCTCAGATTATTTTTTCTTTGTAGCACTCTTGGAGCTGAACCCGGGGCTTTTGCATCGAGCTACATCCACAAAACTTTTGAATCTCCTATTTTGAGGCAGGTTCTCACTAAGTCATTAAAGTGCCCAGACTGGGCTTGAACTTGCCATCCTCCTGCCTCAGCCTCCCGAAGTGCTGGGATTGTAGGTGTGCACCACCACGCGTGGCTTCTAAGCCTACTCCAAGGTGTGCTACCTGTTATGCCCGGCTTCACAAGGAAAGCATCCTTAGACACATCCAAAGATGCTCTGGGGGCCTGGTTGCCCCCTGAGGCCCTGGGGATTTCTGTGGGCAGCCCGCCCGGCCAGTGCAAGGCCCTTTCCTGTGGCTAGGGGCCCAGGGTGCCCACTCACACTGGATATACCAGGCTCTCCAGATGGCGTTGTTGAGGCGGATCTTGTCTCTGCACAGCAACTTGAGGCCTTTGAAGTTCTTCCACTTGGGAGAGACCAGCTTGCCGCTGTCAGGGGGAGAGGGAGGGAGACGGTGGGGTGAGGAGGAGAAGGCAGGGCCTCTGCAGAATCCACTTCTCACTCTCCACGCACACCAGCCTTCCATCTATGCTTGCAATTTGAGGGATCCCCAAATCCCACCCCTCAACCTACCTGCCTGAAGTTCCTGCCCTGGAGTCTGACCTTAAAGATGCCCTCCCAGGGGCCCACCATGTGCTCCTGCCTGTCCCTCTACTCCCCAAACCAGAGCCGAGCTGAGCCTTCTCTGTCAGCTCAGGGCTGAGAACCACAGGGTCCTGCACGGCCCAAAGGTTCCCCTCTCATGGTCGAGTTGGAAAGTGCTCAGACCTAAGAGGAGTGATTGAGAAATATGGTGCATTTGCCTTTTTTAAATGATCACAGTTACACAGCACTGCTGTGAGTTCCCCTCAGAGCACTTCCCTCCCTCCTAACGCTCTCACCCCACCATTCCTGCCACTTTCTGCAGCAGCTCTGGAAGTGCTCTCTCATGAAGCTCTTTAGTTGTACTGCCCTGGCTTTCCCAAGGTCCCGAATCAATTCAAAACATTTCTCCTTCATGGTCATTTTGACTTTGGGGAAGAACCAGAAGTCACCCGGTACCGGGTCCAGTGAAGAAGGTGGATGAGGACACAGGGTCATATTTTCTTTTTGCGAGCTTGCCTTTCCATTGGATGGCCCTTGGCAGCGGAGACCCTCAAGAAAGGACTTCCAGAGAAATGCTCCAGAAGTGGCAAGGATGGTGGGATCAGTGTTTGAAGCGAGGGGGAAGAGTCTACGGCACATTAATAGCAACGCGTCTTTTACTGTAGTAAAAAAAAAATTTTATTTTGAGACAGGGTCTCACTATGTAGTTGAGACTGCCCTGGAACTCACTACGTAACCCAGGCTGGTCTCGAACTAACAACAATCCTCCTGCCTCAGCCTCCCGCGTGCTGGGATTACAAGCATGCGCCACCACACCTGGCAGTAAATGTTTTCTTTAAAACCATATTGTATTTTTCAATCTCCTCTTGCAGTTCTTATTTAAGAATAATACAAAATAATCTTCCTGAGAGTCAGGAAGGGAAAAGGGAATGCTCAAGGTCACAAGGCAGGGACTCACTCAGGGCCTGTGGCTTTTCTCTATATTCACTGGCCTCCTTAGGCCTGGGGGATGGGGACAGTTTGCTGGACGCAGAAGGAGCCTGTTCCCCAGCAGTGGCCTTAGAGCAACCAAGCACTGTGTCTTTGTGTCTGTTATGTGATCCCAGGATGGCACTCTGTACTGAGGTGGAAGGTGGGCCCTCCTCAGGGGCATCATAACACAAAGAGCCATCGGGACCCAAGAGCAGGCAGAGGAGAGACAGTGCCCTAACTCAGACCCTAGCTGCCACCAAATTCATGAGATAAGTCAAGTGTGGTGTGATGCACGTTTGTAAACCCAGCACTTTTGGGGGCTGAGGCAGGCAGATCCCAGGTTCAAGCCCAAACTAGGCAATTTGGTGACTTAGTGAGACTGTCTTAAAATAAAAACTAAAAAGGGCTGGGGATGTAGCTCAGTGCCAAATCCTTAGGTTCACTTCCCAGTAGCACAAAAACAAATCAACAAACCAAAAGGCAAAGTTCATGGAGTGCGGGGGCTTCTCACAGGTGCTGTCCTGACTCTTCAGGTATCGCACAAGCCAAGTCTGTCCCACCATGAAGCTGACCCGGGAGACCAAGATACCCAGGGTCTCAGGCTCCTGTGGTTCCTCCCTTCCCCCCTCCTCCCTCAGGGTCTAGAAGCCCCATTTGCACAGGAGTCCTTCTGGCCCCCTTTCTCCGAGCCTGGCTCCTGCATCTACCCTCTCTGACTCCTCAGCTCCTCTCCCTGCAGCACGTTGGGTGTACATGGCTCATTGGCTCCCGGCTCCTCTCCGGTATCCAAGCTCCTGTGTTTACTCTGGGGGTGGGGGCTGCAGGGGGGCGGGCTGGGGATCACCATCTCAGGGGACAATAGGGCTCATTACCCAAGTAGAGCACATAGCCAGGGCCCTGCCCCGAGGGCTGGTCCCCTCCATCCTGCAGTTAGATAAACACCATCTGTCCGGTAAGGAGGCATGGCGCATGGGGGAAGGGGGTCTGCTCGTCTGGGGCCAGCCTCTTTTGTGCCACCTGCTCAGGGGAATCCTGAGTGTGTTGCCCTGGCCTGTATCCCAGTAACCTCCCAGCCCACCAACCACCCAAGGTGCCCCCCAGCCTCCCTGTCTCCCTTCTTCCACCTCCCTGCTAAGGTGGGTGGCCCAGCCCTGACAGAGGGAACAGGACGATAGCCAAACCCAGGAGGAAAGGATTTGGTTGGCTGGATGGGAGGGGAGTGGCTCAGCCTGGCACACAAAGCCCAGGGCCAAGGGTCAAGAGCTCCTGGTGACCAGTGGAAACATGGGCGAGGGGCTGGGGAAGCCTTCAGAACTCAGCTTGGCCCCTGACCATGCAGGAATCCGCACTAGAGAGCCTGGACAGGCCCTGCTGCCTCAGCTCTGTCCCTTAGGCCATCCTTTCCCTAGCCAGCTAGCTCTGCCCACCAAGTAGTTTCTTGCAGTCTTTGCACCCTAATTTCCACTCCCACAACCCCCGTGGAACTGACACCGAGAAACTTCCTCCCACTCGCCTGCAGGCTGTTCTCCTCCTGGTCCAGGGGTCCACTTTCTCCCTCTGCCTTCTTGAGGAGTCCCCCCTACCCCTGCGCCTAGCCCTTCCTATCCAGTCCTCCCCTGGGACCTTTGACTTCCAAGATCTTCTGTCCTCCAGGGAAACTGTTTATTTTACTTTTTTGAGACAAAGTCTCACTATGCACCCAGGCTGGCCTTGAACTCTCAATGATCCTCCTGCCTCAGCCTCACAAGTACTGGGCTCACAAGTGTGCACTACCACAAATTTGGGATGTTTGAAGGATAAAGTGTTGTCCCAGTCTGAGCCTGTTTTTTTTTTTTTTTTTCCTTTCTCCTTCCAAATGGGGAAACAAAGTCTCTGGAGGTCTAAGGCACCCTATTCTTGGTGCCTATCCCCCCACCCAGGAGAAGACAGGGAGATTTAACATTCTGGGTGTTGGGTCAAGATGTACCCTCTCCAAACTTGGCTGAGGTTACATCTCTTGGGATAGCAGGTCTTGGGATGTACCTTCTCACTTGGCACCTCCCAGGACCTCCTCTTTCTGTCGCCCATGGTGGGAGGGGCACAAGGCAGAGGCGGGGCTACAACGACGGAGCGTTTGTAGCAGAAAGCTGGGAGCTGAAGAAGGCTTGGTTGGAAGTGGGGTTCGGGGTAGGGGGAAGGGCTGGGGAGAGGGGGGGCGTTCATTGTACCGGGACCTCAGATGCCCCTTGCCGGTCTCGTGATGTTTAGGGCGGGAGGGGGAAAGGGATGGGAGTCTGAACTTTCCACATCGGTCGGGCGCCCAGCACGATCAGGTTGCAACATGACCTGGGCTGGTGGCCAGAACTTGTGGGCCAAGGTTACTCTGTCTCCAGCCAATGGGGTGCGCGGACTGGCAGCGCGGGCAGGAACGCGGCTCCTCAAAGCCCACCTCGGCTCCCAGTCCCAGAGGCGGCGACGGGCGGGGGTCGGACGCCAGCGGTTTCGCCCAGGAGAGAGGAAGTACCTCGGAGTATTTGCACAGAGCAAAAACATCAAGACCGGCTGATCCCCCTTCTTCTCTACTGTTTTTGGTTGATAATTTATCCCGGCTCCTCCGCTGCGGGGAACTTTGGTCCAGGGCACTCGGCCAGGACTTCGGTTCGCACCCCTTGCCGCGACACGGGTGTGGAGCCGGAGCCGGGTGCGGCCCGGTGGCTCTGCAGGGCGCCAAGCGGGGGTCCCGGGCTTCGCCAGGCCCTGGGCCTCCCCCGCACCAGCCGGGCTCAGCCTGCAATACCCCCTGCCGGGCTGGGTCCCAGAACCTCTGAGAGCAGCGCCCCTCCGGGCGAGTCCCGGGCCTCTTCCACCCTTTCTCCAGCCGGTGGAGAAAAGGTGTCTCCTCGTGACGGGCGGGTGTGGTGGTGCACGCCTGTGATCCCAGCACTGTGGGAGGCTAAGGCAGGAGGGTCCCTAGTTGGAGTCAAGACTGGGCAATTGAGACCCTGCCTCAGAATAAAAAAATAAATGACTACGGAGTAACAGTGCAAAGGCCTTGGGTTCAACCCCCAGTACTTAGAAAATTAGGACAGCGAAGGGCTCTGGGAGTATTGCAGGGTACAGGGGGTGGGGAGGGAGTGGAGGCCCACAGCAGGTGGCCGGTGGAATGGCCCGGGAGTGGAGGGTGGGGTCGAGCCGGGTTGGGTAGGGTCCTGGGAGCGTGAGGGATGACTGACATTTCCTTGGGCACAGAGGATCAAGGAGAGGGACCCGGTGGGGTCCTACAGGGGAGAAAGGTGGCAGGTCCGTTGAGGGGCAGCCGGCTGGGCTGGGTCTGAAGAAGCTGAGGGCTTGGGGAGGGGACACCCTGTGGTGGCCGCAGCCCCGGAGGAGCGGAGACCAGGCGCGTGTGGGCGATCGGGTGGCGCGCGTGGGTGA